GATAGTTTGGTCAAGCTCTCACATCTTCAATATTAAGAACAGCAGACCCTCCTCACTCAATCTTATCACTGATCAGCAGACCCTCCTTGCTCAGGCCATCACTGATAAACTTGTATGACAAATTTCAAACCGATGTATCCCTGATTAGGCAGAGAGTCCTGCTACAGGTATCTGTGAGAGAAGTAATCTAATTAGGACATGGATGGATATTTGGTTTTGTCTTTGCTAGTGTGTCATTTTCATGCAGTTAAGTGAGAATCCAATTCATTCTTGGGTTCATATCTATTAAAGCTGCATCTAGATTTCAGTTTTATTCTCAAATGTGAAAGAGCAGGGACTGTAGATCAAGCTGAATTCCTGCTGGTGAGTGACGCTAGGTATCACATCTTGCCAAAACAGGATCCCATTGCCACCTCACAGTCTATGTGGATTCCATCTGCTGTGCTTCTATTATTAGGCCATCTCAGATGATTCAAATATTTACCTCTTTGTCCTTTTAAATTCAGGATTTGTCTTCAACCCTCCCCCCAGTGAGTTGCATGCTTTGCTCCTGTTCCTCTGGTCTGTGAATTCTTTGTTTGCAGGCTGGCAAGGCACCAGTTCTGGGGTGACAGATGGAGCAGACTGCAAACCAGGCAGTTGCCTCCTAGCCTGAATGATATTTTAATAAGCACAGAGAGGTGACAGAGAGAGGCGCTTCTCACTGGAATGACTGGCAGTTTTGTTTTCAGTCTGAAAGCACTAATAGATAATTTTTGGCCTCAGTCCATAAAAAAAAAAAAACACAGAAATTAGAAACAGAAAATCCTATTAGCTCCTAATTTATCCCTCTCTTTTTTTTAGGGTCAAAGAAGTTTTTTATGTCTGGTCTATTATCCAGATAGGGAGTTGTTTCCCCATTTTTGGTATGTTAGTTCTCTCTATGGAACTGTATACTTTAGGAGACTTTCATTTTATTTACTACTTTGTTTTCCTTCCTTTTTTATTATTTCACTAATTTTCTCCATTGTCTTCCTTCCCTAAACATTCTCTGTTCTTCATATTTCTTTACACTCTTCACAGATTCATGTTGAAGTCTGAATAATGGGTCCTAACAACTTGGCTTCTGGCTTCCACATCCTGTGAAACAGCCAGTGCAGTGCAAGGCAATGGCATCTGTATGGGAATCTCTAGAGCACGTGGCCTCTTCTCCCTGCCCTTCAGTTGTATCTCAGTCGTATAATACAGGGCTTGTGTAGGGCTTTGTTTCATCCTGACAGATAAAAGCACAACAAAAGGGAGCTCTGGCAAAGCCCCAACAGGCTCTGAGGTCCCTCTGCATTGTGAGCAACACAGTGTTCTGCAGACAAACTGTAGGATACTCAGGCTTTCAAAGGAGGAGACTCTTTTTCTTCCAATGAATACAGGTTAGAAAAGATCCAGCTCTCGCAAGGAAAATATAAGACCAGTGCTGGGATCTGAACTGAGTTATGGTCCCTTACACTGCTCAGAGAACACACTGGAAACATCTCAGTACTTGGACGTAGACCTTCATAGGTCTGTGTAGCAAGTCTACAGGTCTGGGTTTCAACTGGTGTATGAGCTATAAATTAGTGGTATTCCTGCTAAAATACGCTTCTCTTTTCTTTCAGATCCAATGATGACACTGAACGTTCAGATCTTCTTTGGCTTCCTTTGCTGCATTATTTTTGTTCCTACAGATGGCTTCCCAACAGACACCAGTACTGAATTTCGCTCTGCTTTCTCTGTGGCCAGAACCAGCAGCATGGAAGGAAGCTCCGAGATGGTTATTACCTTTGACAAAGTGTATGTGAATATTGGCAATGATTTTGATCCCAAGACTGGATTGTTCCGCTGTCGAATCCCTGGAGCCTACTACTTCTCCTTCACTGTTGGGAAATACCCAAAGAAAAACTTATCTGTCATGCTGATGAGAAACAAGAATGAGGTGCAAGTAATTGTGTATGATGAACATCACCGCAAGGAACGGAAGGTTGCCAGCCAGAGTGCCATGCTGCAGCTTGACTATGGCGACACGGTTTGGCTGCGTTTACATGGGGATCCCAAGTATGCTCTTTACAGCAATGTGGGCCCCTATACAACTTTCAATGGCTACCTAATCTATCCTGACACTTCTGCCTTCTTCCAGAATGCTCTTAGCTCCCAAGAGCTGGGGCCACACCCTCACAAAATTCAGCAGCTTCCCAGAGAGCAGAGTGAAGCTTCACAGCGACACATGTTATCTGATCAACCAAACAGAGTACAAGACCCTCGTTCTGCATTTTCTGTTGCCCGCTCACAGAGTCTCCTGGGGACAGATGAGGAGCAAACCCAGCATGAGCCAATCACGTTTGACACAGAGTTTGTGAACATTGGAAAGGATTTCAATTCTTCCACTGGTATCTTCTCGTGCCGTATACCTGGTGCATACTATTTCTCGTTCACCATTGGCAAAATGCCCTTTAAGACTATGTCAGTGAAACTTATGAAGAACCACAATGAGGTGCAGGCCATGATCTATGATGACAACCACTCCAAGAGGCGAGAGATGCAGAGTCAGAGTATCATGCTGCCTCTGCAATATGGGGACACGGTTTGGCTCTACAGCCACCAGCACGATGGCTATGGTGCCTATAGCAACCATGGCAAGTACATCACCTTCACGGGCTTCCTGATCTATCCAGAGGCTCAGCCGAAGCGGCTTTCAGGTGCCAGCCCACTTCAAGGGTCAAATAATTAAATGCAGATGTGAAAGGAGCATAAGAAGAGCCAAGATCACATGAACTTGGGTATAGCTCCTCTTTGAATATCATCCTCTACTTTGAGCATGCTATCATGTGTCCAGTGCTTTCCTTATGCTGCACGCTTTTGTGCCCTGTCTGCAGGGCCACAGCTGTAACTGCCATTCATCTTTAGAGAGGCCTTTCAGATTGTACCTGCGTGTCCTGTGTTGGTGTTTGATTTAAGCATAAAGCATGAGGTAGTTTTGGGGCAGGGGTGGGGCAGTGTAGTGAGATGCTGAGGATCAGAAAACCACTGCATTCATGTTACTGCAGATCCCCAGCATCCAGAGAGCAAAGGATATGGTGACTTTCCTTGTATATCTGGGGAGGGAATAAATGTAATGGAAATGAATGTAATAAAAATACAAAAAGTGTAAAATGTTCTCAGTTTGAAATTTGTTGCTACCTTGTAGCTTGTGTGCTTGTCCCTTGCTGAGGTACCAGCTCAGGTGAAAAAGCAGCATGGTGATTGTATGACCTGCATTATGTGTTACTGAGCCCGTCTGTCTGTGTACACTCTTTTTTATCATGTGTGTGTGTGAAGGGTTGGTACTTCTTATGATTTAATTGCAAATTTCACAATATTTGGCACTTTTCTTAGTCTGATGTAGATGAAGTCAAGAAGCTGTGTTGGAGAATCTCAGCTTCCATGTCATGGAAAGAATACATTTAGCAATAAACAAAAAAATAGGCTTCTAGCCTTTGTTGTGAAAGATGAGGACTTGAATCCGGGAACAGACCATCCTCTGAAAGCTTAGAAGCAAGGTAAGTAAGAAGAATAAAAATGTAGTTTTAAATCCCCGAAGATTTGGGTCAGGAGCAGGCTCATAATGTGTAAGTGTGAGTAGTATCATGCCATGCAGTGGCACTGCTGAGTGTAGGGGCATTACATTTCCTAGAAATGACCCCTTGAATACAAGAGTACTGCTAACTTGCCATGTGCTGCACCGATAGCCTAGTGCAAGCATGATCAAAAGAACCATGAAGTGATATTTTCAGCACCTGTACTCCAGTGTTTTTTTACACACCATGTTCTGCCGAGCTGCAGTGTGGCTGTAGAGAGGCCGTTGTGGCTGTAGAGGACCCTGCTGTGTTCCTGCAGTCCGACGGACTGACAGACAGGCAGCTGGCAGGATACACTGAGGAGGTAGGAGGAGCAGAGGAGTCTGGAGGCTTCATCGTGGCACGACTGGTGCTGTTTCAGCTGAGCTAAACTCTGCTTTGTGTCTCAAAAGCACATAAACTGCAAAAGTGCATAATTCAAGCATGCACAAAACTTTGCAACATCACTTGAGTTGAATTTATAATCTGCTCAACAGACAGCAATGCTCTTAAACTACTACTGACAAAATCCTGAGTTCAAAGCAGTGTATTCGCATCTGAGTCATAAGCCAACCCACTCAGCCTTTATCCATACATTCATATGGCTCAGACTGTATATTCTCCAGCAAGATAGTATTTTCATGCACTAGTGCCATGTTGGCTCAGCTTTTAGATATTTTCTGCTCAAATTGGACTTAACTGCAGCCACTCTCTGTCACTCCATACATATCCTAGACATTAAAGACTGGGGGCATGTTTGGCAAAAGGATGACAGGTAGATATTGTAGGTATGTAAAAAACCAGCATACGAGTAGTAGAATATTAGATGGGACAAGAATTTTTACTTCAAATAAAATTCTGATATTAATTCCTACATCTTTTGGAGTGAAAAGCAAACAAGTCCAATCCCAAAGCACAAATCAAAAATAAACAAATAAACGTACAAAACAAAAAATCAGCAATAATGAGCCTGCTTTATTAACTGTGTAAATCTGTCTCCTCCTATTATAGCCCTAACCTGACCTCTAAAACCATTATCTGTGACATCTTGCTTCCAGGCTTCTTGTTCCTGCCTTACTATTTCTCTTCTCCATCTGTTGGGCTGCAATTGCTTGGAAGAAGATTAACTAGGTCAAAAGCTAACAGTTCCCACTTTGAATGTCACACATGCCTCTTTTGTTGAGCATGGAAAAATTACAGAAAGGGAATTAGGGATTCCATCATCTAAGCACATGCAATAAAGGTTCAAAATTAATATATCTCTAGTGGCAGTGGGAAACTTAGTAGAACCAACAAAAAATAAAATCAAAACCCTCCTGAAGAGATAATTACATTTATTTAATTCCAAACTGCAATGTTTAAGACAAATTTTAATTATCTTTTTCTATAAAATAATTATATTTCTGATTTTGAGGATAGTGATTGAATATTTATAATGTTTTGCTTGTAAAGTGCTATAGCTATAAAAAAAAAAAAACTTTATAGAAGAGAGGCAAAATCTGCTGAAGAAATATCTAGGTCACAATCCTTCAGAATTTCAATGAGATTTCAGGAAGTATATTCCACACTGATAACTGAAACAAAGCTGTGTATGTGTGTAAATATGACATGCAAATGCTAGAAAGCTTCATGGAATACATACATTTTCAGGTTGCTTTTTAAAGAAAAATGAATACAAGAGATGGGAAATTACTATTGACATACAAAATGTGATGCCACATGAGCAGAAAAATGAAATTAAATATAAGAGCTATATCATGAAACACAGCAAAATCTGCTTAGCTGCTTACTGGAGAGGAGAAAAGATCCTGTATTTGACTGAAACCACAGGGAGAATATAAGGAGGCTGAACTGAATGATGCGAAATGCAGTCAGCTAGGACACCAGCATAACATCCTGGAAAAATAATTCCAAGCCCTCTCCCCTGTAAGCATCAGTGACCAAGATAGATAAGACATCTAAATAGCACTGCTGCCCTCAGGACACCCCACTCGTCAAAAAATCAGGAGAGGGTAAAATGCACTTTATAGTTTTGTGTTTTTTCATTTAAAAGTAAAAGGTTGCGAATAAAGTCTTACAGGGTTGCCAGCACAGTGCAGAAAGCAGAACAAAAAGATGTGATATATTTGTACAAAGTCCCGCACAACGTAGAAAGCATTGAAAATAACCTAGGATGCAGCTAAAGTCAGGTGTGTCCTCTCCTATGGTAGTTTCCCTCACTAAGTATCTCTCCTGATCCTGGCCAGGTTAGAACGATAGAAGTGTTTCAGGGATGCTAAATGGGAAGGCTTCTCCTTCCAAGGCCAGGAAGCCAGGAGGAGGGTGGTATTTGCAGGGCAGAGCCCCTTGCACAGGTCACGAAAGACTTCATCAACCAGCTGAGAGAAAAAACGAATCCAGAGATTTTTATCCAAACCCTGCGTGGAACGAACCTGATAGGCAGAGTATACACTAGTAAAAAGGAGACGGTCAAACTCTGTTAGAGGCAAGGGGGTGTCAGTCAGTGAATAATATCTCAGGTGCTGCTCAATCTCTGGCGGTGTTTTGGGAACCTCATCCTCTAAAATCCGCAGGAACCGGCGTGCAGGGCGCAGGGAGGCCAGCTCTTCATCCCGCAGCCGGATCGTCCCGTTGGCCTGAATATCCAGCCTTCCCCAGAGCATCTGGAAGAGAGGAGCAGCATGCGCACGGAAAGCCCAGCACAAACCCTCTATCAGCTACAAAGGAGCTGTAAAGCCATCTGCAGAGCTGCCAAATCTCGGGCGGGTCGGGAGGTGACCGCTCCCTGACTCGCTGCCCACGGCCCGCCCAGTCCCACTCCCCGTGCTTCTCTGCCAGCCCCACACCCCTTTTCTGACCGGCCCCACAGGTTCCCGTGGGACGTGTCCAGCTCCTGCCTCCCGCCCAGCCTCTCTCTCTCCCCAGGCAGTTCCGCCTGCAGCAGCTCCCCGGCGCGGCCGCCTTGGGCGGGATGCTTGGCCCTTTGGGGGGGAGCGGGGATGGTCCCTTGTCCCACCCCGGGGGTGTGAGGTGCCACGGAGCGGGGCAGAGCCCCCTTCACCTGCACCCCGCAATGGGAGGGAGCACAAACCCAAGTAGGCATCGCCGAGGCATTCTCCAGGGCCTCCTGAAATCCGTCAGGGATGAGAACAAACAAAACGGGTGAGTTTTTACATGCAGATAGGTGGGAGCACGGCCACTAACAGTGCCTCGGCCCACGGGCCCCCAGTGCTCAGGAGACCTCTAGCATGATGTTGGCGTCCTCTGGGCTGCGGTGAGGTGTGTTGGTGCCACTGTAAGGATGTTCATCTGGAAGACATCAGAAGAGTTTGGTAGTTTAAGACCTTCCTGTTTATGTCTTCAGTATTTCTGAGCTACCACTCATAGCTTGCCAAATATGACAGATGCTGTCCATGGGATTTTGATAAGCAAAACAAGCTTTATAAGAGAAGCAGCAGTGGTTAAGTGAGGCAAGGGAAAATTTTGGATATCATGGCCCTTAATTCGTCCAACAGGGCTAAGGCATTCAGCAACAAAGGCACTTGGTTTGATAGGCAGCAAAGAGGCCTCCCACTCGAGTACGGGTAGTTTTTGAACTGATGGGTTTTGGTTGCTTGGTGGGTTTTGCTAGAGAAAGTAATGCTGCCCAGTGGAAGGGAGGAGCTGGGAGGCTCCTCAACTTGCTGATGAAAACATAACCTGATGCTTATCCTGGTTTTGTATTTCTTCCCTAAGCTTCTGATGCTGGCAGGGGCAGAGAGTGAGGGTAAAAGAAACCTTGTCAATCCATTATGGCTCATTTCATGTCCAGCTAATTACTTGCTGGGCCACATGACACCACGTCAGCTGGAAAAAATGTGTATGAGGCCAGAGGAATGGTAGTTTTGAATAAGAAAGTCACATTAACCCTAATAATTGTTTAGTTATAATTTAATAATACTTATAGTGCTCTAACTTTCTGCATTTATTTTGCCTTTATTATTCCTTTCTTTGTGAAAAAAGAGGCACAAGCAGTCTTGGTCCAGGACTATGAAAGAGAGGCTGTATCCCTGCCCTTCTCTATGTTGATCAGTGTCATCATGTAGCCAAGACCCTCTTCTACTTCTTACAGACTCATCCTTCAGGTCAAGAAATACAGAAAGAGAAGAGCTTTTATAAAATAGTAAGCTCTCTGACACATTTGGATTTGGGTTTGGATTGGGGTTTTTTTTCATTTCTATATGGATGAAGACTTTTTTATATTAAAAAAAAGAGAGAGAATTTATATTGAATATTCCAAAGTTAAGGTCAACAGGTGCATACAAAAAGTAGACAAATTACTCAGTATTCTTTGTATGTGATGACTGCTACCAAACACCACTTCCAACTTCCCATTCCTAATTAAAGCTTTTCAGAGAGTTGCACGAGCTCCCTGAAGAAGTGGATTGCCACTCCACAGGCTGCAGAGGTTTGTTTCTCTGCACAGCTGAGGGCTCCATGATCCAAGCCAGCTGTGGCTTTGGAATGTGAGCAGGGACATAGCTTGTCTTTTCTACTCCTCCACAGATGTGCCAGCAAGACTTTTAGCAAAGGTAAAAATATTATATAATCTGAAAATTTTGTTGTTGGTCTTTTCTCTGCTAACTGATCCTCGAGGTTCACAGATCCCTCTACTGAGAATGTCTGACTGACTGCAAAATTAGTGCATTTGTTGAATAGGTGCCAAACTGCTGTTATTAGTGGCTGCCTCATAAATATACACAGTGGTAGATTTTTCAGTAGACAAAAATTAAACAAAGCATAACAAATAATGTATTGAAATAATAATAATGTAAATATCCTCTGGGGAATGGAAAATAGTTCCTTACTTATTTTATCACTCAGCAGGTTTGGGTTTTTTTCTCTGAAAAGCATGTGGAAAATCCACAAGCATAATTGCAGGAGCAGTCTTTTCTTCAGTGGAGACCCAAGAAAACCCTTCCCTTTCCAGCAAAAATATCAACAGATCTTCAGCCTGCAAGTAGGTTACCAGTGCCTCTCCCAGCAAACCCCCCAGCTGGACTCCAGCTCTCTCCCATGCCAGTACAGCTACTTGAAGTCTCTAACCATATTTGGGGAAGCAAGGCAAAGCATCACACAAATGGCATTGCACAAATGTTTGCCAAGCCAAGAAGCCGCGTCGCCAGCAGGTGCGTTTCCTACCTGTCAGCTTCTGGGATCCAGCAAACACACACAGGACCAGCCAGACACTGAACTGTGCCTGGGCCATAGCAGCTCTGCCCGGGAGCAGCTGCCACCCGCTCCACAGACAGTGCTATGGGGCCAGAGAGTTTGCTGTGACGTCTTCCCTTGCTGCTCCTGGCCTCAGCAGCCTCTCTTGGAATGGATCCATCTTTCTGTGTTTCTGGTTGCAGTCCTGGGAAGAGCTTGCAGTTCAGCTTGCTGACCCCGAAGGATATTTTCCATCATATTTTGGAAACTTGGAAAACTTTGTTGTTTTTGGCAGAACCGTTTAAACTTTTTTTCCAAGAGTGACTTCCCACTGCAATGCCTTATAGGAAGCTATTAGTTTCAAGAAATTATACTACATATGTTTGCCTCTGAAGAAGGGAAGACCTCCTAGTCCCTTCCATATCTTCACAGTGCGTCTGTCACATCTCTGTGTCACTTCTGCTCTGCTCCTTGGCTTCATTTTCAGTTTTCCTTTTTCCCATGTTTGAAAATCTGAAACAATCCTGAAATGTCACAAACAAGTAAGGTCATCAGACTGCAGACTCGTGGAAGGGCAGTAGCAGCCAAAATACACAAGCAGGCAGTAGAAATATCACTGGTTCAGTTCTGTATCAAACCTCCTGGAGGCAAAACTCAGTAAACTGATCCAGCAAACAACAAGTATTGAAGTCCCTGAGGCTTTAGCATCTCATTGTCCTCTTCTGTGACTGGATTTCTGGGTTACAATGAGCACAATCTGCCTTAGATATTGTTGATTACAAAACTTCATCTGATTTCCTTTGCAGCAGATACCTCTTTTCTACACATCTTTACACTTTCATAAGTGCCCAATCCCCAGTCAATCTGTATGACACAGTATACGATGCCAGGTTTATACAAGTATGTAATAACATCTATAAATAAGTAATAATACCATCTCCCTCAGGTTAAAGGGAGAAAAGAGATGAGGTAGAGCTGACATGCATCCCTTTCTCAGCAAGTTACAGAACATCAGTTTGTAGTGACTACCGTCACCAGAGAGTTTACTGAGGGTTGGGATGATGTCCCAGTTAGTAAGTTGTCAGTGTGCAAAGGACCACATCTTCTGAAACTTTCAGGATCTGTACCTGTGTCTGGCAATATATGGGCTCACATCAGCTAAGAGAAGCAGCACAATGGAAGTCACAGACTGGTCATGGGAGAAGTGGCCCACAATATCCAGAGCCACTCTTATCCTCAGTTTGGATTCAAAATAAGACCTGTGTTTCTGTCATAGCCTTAGCTATCTTCCAATCAAGTGGTGCTGCTTTTGTTTTTCATTATTTTCTGCTGCTTATGCTTTAGTTGCATCCTTTTTCTTCTGGGATGTGGTTTCTTTTATTAAAAAGTGAATCACAAGCTCATAAGGCAGGCGCTGGTGGCCCATCTGTGCAGTGAGATTGATGTGCCTTCTGCTTTGCGCCAGAGTCCCTTACAGTCCACAGTGTGCACATGACTTTGCCTAGAATTCACTATGCAAATACCCCTGAGTCTCAAAGGCCATGAAATAGCCTCCTTTAGCATGCAGCACATGACAAAAGGAGGAGCCCAGGATTTTGGCCAACATCTGCAAGGGCTGTACAGGATTTTGTTTTTGTCAACATTTGATTTTGTCAACAGGAGAATTTCCTAGGGACAGCTTGCAGCTGTTGGTGGGATGGAGAAGAGAGGAGACTCAGAGCCTGTGCTCAAGGTGACTGATACAGTGGCAGGCGAGGCACGAGCATCAGTGTGGATGCTCGTGAGCTAGGGGAATTTTGTAGAATTACCTCACTATCCACACAGAAAGGCAAATGCAGAGTGGTAAACTGTCTGTACAATGGCAATACTTGCAGAGAAAGAAGCCTGAGCTTCTGACAGCTGCCTAGAGTCCCCGCATGTATGACTGCAATGTTTGGCAGTGCACCTGCTCCTCCTGAAGGATTCTGTCCTTGCCAGATATTCACAGCTGAGTGTGCACAACCCTGCCCCTCTGCACTCCCCTGGTCACACCGTCTGTTGCCAGAGCAGTTTCAAAACATCATAATGAGCCCATTTTATGCAGAGGCACCTTGACTGGTTTCATCTTTTTCACCACGACCTCCTGAAGCGGGAAGATGGGAAATGAGAACAAGATAAGAGGGATTAAAAACTGCAGGAGCTGGTTGGATGCTGGTTGAGGCACAAAGTGTGATTAATACAGCATCAGAAGAGCCTCTTTGGGAGGGAAGTTTCTTTGAAATGGGACTGCAGGGAGATAGACAACATATTCACAAAAAGGAAATTCTGCTTACAGAATTGGAGAAATCACTTGCTTCAATCATCCCATCCAGAACTTGGGAAGATCATAGTCACCTGGGTCTGTCTGGCAGGTGCTCAGGGGGGAAAGATTGGGAGAAGAAGTTTGAGGAAAGAGGGGAAGGAAAAAGGACATACATGGCTCCCAGGGAAGGTGAAGTTTGAGTCATTGAAGGGGAAGAAGGAAGAAAACCTTGAGGAAATTAGGAGCGAAGTGTTGACCATAACCAGGCAGGACCTGTTACACCAGTATTTTCCAGGTATGGTGCTGCCAGTCCTTATGCAGATGCTTTCCTTGTCTTTTTCTTTCAGTTTATGAGAGGCATCCACTGCTTGAAGAAATAATGAGCTATGTAACAGTGACAGGGAAGGGCCCATACTACTGCAGCTACTGCACCAACAGACTCCCTCAGGCCTTGCACAACTTGGAGAAAATGTCAGAGGATGCAGCGTAATGTGTCCTTCAGTAGTCCCATAAGCTCTGTTGAAATCTTCATCTGGATTTTGACTGGAGATCAATTATAAGGCCTATACCAACTGTGTGTGGCCCTGATGCGGGTGGACACCCTGACACTGTCTGTAGCCACATCCTCAGGGAGGAGAGTCTGCTCGCCTGGCTCTAGGGAGAAATGCCAGAGTTCTGGAAAACACCAGTGAAACCTACTCAGCTGGGGAAGCTCAACATGGTGACTGTGAGTCATCACCTAAAGTCTATTTTGTCCCTCTAGTACCAGAAAATCTCTTTTCTAAATAGTGTGTCTGCAAGTCTGCTACATCTGACTTTAATCTCATCCAACATCCTCCTACACTTGAGGAATCCAACCAGGCAAACAAGCCCTCTGGAGGCTGGCAATGCAGGAACAGAGGATTTGGAAGACAGCTTTGTGCTTGATCAAGATGAGAACACCTTACCCACCATGAGGCAAATGTCTACCAGCCATAAGAAAGCCAGAGTGAGCAGGCTCCATAGGCAAAAATGGTCCCTGGAGCTCAGGAACAGTGGAAGAGAAGGTAGAGTGCCAACACTGGCAGTGCTTTGTGAGGCTGTGTAACCTCTTGTGCCCTGGGATAATGTGTCTGGGTGAGTAAATTATCATCATCTTCCAAGGCTAAGCTAAAGAGAAGAGATTTAGCTCCATTAGCAACTATTTCACCCATTAAAAACCTTCTGGAAGCAATGCCTGTCCCCACAGGGCCAGCTGCTTTCCCAGTACATACGTTCTTGAGCAAAGCTTGCATGTTGTCTAACTTCACAGGGCACTGTGTCTAACACTTCTTGATGTTCTGTCAATCAAATTCTCCCTCGGCACAAACATTATGTTTAAATGGCAGATTTCCTGCTACCGTCAGTCTTCTGGCTTATTGTGCTGGGAAATACATATTTCTTATAATACAAAGACCACGAGTCTTGGCGTGGCATCTCGAGCAACCTGGGGATGAAAAAGAACCAAGGGAGGAAATGTGCTTCATAAAGAATTTTCATGGTAATAGAAGTGGTGCCAGGAACTTTTCTGTCTTGTGCAATAGGCATTAGCATGCTATGAGAGCTGCTGCAACAGAAAATAGAACCAGCTGTGGAACATCTTGTTGAAAGAATTATAAGTGCATTTCCTATTTAATCAGCTCAATTGATGGCAGACCCAAAGTGGAGAGAAGAATAGTAAAAAATCCCACACTTCTGCTATTTTGTGTTCCATTCCCATCTAGAGCTATAGCTTTTAAGGTGAGTGGCAAATGTTATTAATTTTAACTAGAGAACACTGTTGAATCACATCTCAAACACTGCTGGCCACAGCAGCCTGAAATAAAATTAAAAAAAAAAAAAAAAAAAGGAAGGATGGGGAAATAAGCAACACATGTTTACAAGGCTGTGGTGGAAACAATCATGAAACTCAATTCTTAGCATACAGTTCAGCTCTTTACTCTTGAAAACAGATCACGTTCTAGTCACAGTGAGTAGTTGGTTTTTTCCTTAATTGAATTTACTATTGTCCTATCTTTTCCTCCATTCCCATACTCTAAGCTCCTTCAAACCCCTATTTTACTTAGTACTTTCACAGTTTAAAAGCTTAAGTAGTGATTCAGGGAATCTCTACAAACAGCCTGTGAATTATTTTATGAAATCTCTTATACAATAGTTTTCAGATTTTAATGAAGCCAGTCAGCTTTCTGATGCAGAACTGCATGATGCATTTTCCAGACCAAGGACAAGGGACACTGAATTGATGACTGCCATGTAATCCCATTCAAACAGGTGCTGGGTGGATTTGAACTACAGTGCACTTCCAGCTATTTTGTAGAAAACTGAGATTTTCCATAAGAGCAAAGAAAGTGTTAACGCAATTATATCATAAAGCTCAAAATAACTGGAGTAGTGACAAAAAGACAGACTCTTGTCTATGAGAGAAGGGAGGAAGATATTTTTGGTTGCAGAAAAAAAGCACAATCTGAAGAAGCTGGAGAAAGTAAAGACTGCTCGTGAAGAAAAAGCCACCCTGAGGGAGTGTCACATCAGAGGTTATGTGCAACTCCTGTCCAGAGAAAAGAGACTGACCTAATTTCCATGGAAACAATACAGAAATTTCCATAATTGTTTTGGTCTGGATCCAGGTGTATTTCTGTTGTCCTAATAAGAACTGTATTAGAACCATTTATAAAAGCTTTGCTTGTTTGCTGTATTATTACCATTTTCCCAACACCCATCCTGGAGAGCTAAGATACTGCTGCCCCACTGCTCAAGCTCCACAGCTGCTTCAGTACAGTTTCCTAGTGAGTGCTCAGGTTATGACTTATGCCTGCAAGGACTGCTTCCAGAAGTAGCGTATACAGAACACCTTAGCCACAGGGAATGCCTGCACTCCATTCAATTTGCAAACCAAAAAAGAAAAATTGAGTGTTTTACAACTCAAAGCACCAGATAAACATCTACTCGTTGGATTATCAGGATTGTAAGTGAGCATTCCCTTGTCTTGTGCTTTTCATGTAGCTTGAACACATTATTCATGAGATCACATCAGGTAAGTGTCTCACATCAATTTTTATTATTATAAATACTATGTTAGAACAGAAAGGATGGTGCCAGGCGTCCGCTCCATTCTGCTGCTATTTTGCATCTTCTTTCTTGGCTCCTGCTTCTATTTTCAGGGGTTCTGGAGCTGCACGATAAGCAGGAAATGCCTCCCACGGACTATTCAGATCAAACTTGCGAAATTCCTGAGACAGCTCCACAGGCTCTGCCACTACCCGTTTCACTTCATCATCATACCGCACCTGGAACAGCGCAAAGGACACAACCAGTCATTTTCACCCCGTCCC